TTTGGGAGGGGCTTGGGCGTGGCTATGGAGTATTTGGGGGTGGAGGTTCTGATTTTTGGAGAAGATGGGGAAGAATTCCGGGTTTTTGGGGTTTAAAATGGGTAAAAACCCGTAAACCCGGCGGGTTTGGGAGATTACCCGGACGGGTTTTCGGTTGTCTAAAGCAGTGGCTGATTTTGCATTTTACCCAGCCGGGTTTTACAAATACCCGGTCGGGTTTTTTCCCAGGCCTCATCAAAAAACTGTTTTTTTTAAGTGTAAACTTAAACTAGAATAAAAAGTAAACGTACCTTACATGGGTTGTCTCCCAAAGAGCGCCTTATTTAACGTCGCGGCACGACGCCATCATTGTGTTCAGTCATTTAAACTTGGATCGTGATAGTTTATCTTCTTCACACTTTCACTCCCAGGACTTCCATAGGAATGATAAATTTCTCGACTCTTCACTTTGGAAATCTTTCCAGAATCAAATATCCAGATTTTCATTGATTCATGTGGTGGGAGGAAGGGGAAGAAATTATCGTTTAGCATGGTCAATGAGAAGTTTTTCGATCCTTCAATTTTGAAGAAGATTTCAGAAATGTCATTGTCCTTTTCAAGTTTATGAGTTTCTCTTAAAGCGTCCAGGGATGATGGAGATACCTCAAAGGATGACAATGAAAAAAATTTGAATTTGAAGCTTTGCTTATCCTCTTCTTTGACCAGTTGGAGCTCCGTATCTTTTTCTTCTTCCACTTCTTTTGGATTCTGGATCTCCTTTTGCATTTCCTTTTCATTTGTCAATGTGATTGCAAAAGTTTGCTGTTTAGGATCACATTCTATTTGAGAAGGAAGGTTTTCCGAATCCCTTGCTTCAAGCCTACTCACGACTCCGGCTATTTGACTCATTTGAGTTTCCAAGTTTAAAATGCTAGACTTGGTCTCATTTTGGAATTGCACCATGTTGTTTTGCATGGTGGTCATGTTGGTAGCAATAGCCCGGACCATATCCTCCGTAGACATGTTAGAGTTGGAGAACGGATCATACCTCATGTGAGGTACATCCCTTTCGTAACCAACCTCATCAATTTGTTCAAGGTATTCATCTTGGAGTTTTGGGCAGAAATCCGTTAGATGCCTGTGAGACATGCAAATGTTGCATGTTTTGGCATCTTGAGCTTTTGAGCTTAAGATAAATTCATTTATTAAAGAAGTCAAGAAGGAAATTTGACTCTCTAAGGATGAAATGTTGGTATCCATACACTCATAACTCATGTAAGCTCAGAAAATAGAAGAGCAAGTTTTTTTTTATATTTTTTTTTGTTTTTTTCTGTTTTTGATTTTTATGAGATAAAATAAAAAGAAAAATAATTGCCTTTTCCCGGCAACGGCGCCAAATTTGACGGGCACTTTGTCACGGTGCGTCAAAATAAATTCAATACTAGCACTAATACGTAGTATAGTGAAGTAGAGTTCGTATCCACAGGGAAAGAAATAATTCTCTTTTTATAAAACTAGTAAATAAGGGGGGTTTTGGGATTGAGTGATTTAATTGAACTTAAACACGAAGATGGACGAGTTATATGTGATTTAATTCAAAGATAAAAGGGACTTGGCATTGCTACTTTCCACTTGTTGATATATTTTAGTCGATCATTGTTATATCTATAACTTATCTCCTCTCGAATACTCAATCGAGGAGTATATCCAATTCATTGAGGGTAGTTATTAACAACGACCGTTCATTAATAACCCTTACTATTAGTCAAGTATAGAACAACGCCATATACCGACTTGATAGTAGCATTTAATCTCTTAACTCCTTGATGAAATCAATTGAGATTGATAACCTCAACACAACGGTTTCGGTTTAACCAACCAAATTAATCCCTCTTAAGTTTATTAACCACGACCGTGCATTAATAAACCGAAGTTACTTACTTGTGAAACTATCAACGATTAACCATCGGTTCGTTGATCGTTTCTAGTAATAATTAATATATGGAACAAAACTAGTTGATCCTTTAAGTAATGTTCAAAATATTAATATGAAATATGAATAGGAATTAATTAATACTCAAGGAAGAATATTAAAGAAGATGAATCCTACTATAGTTAATATCAAGATGTTAACTAATTGTCATCTTAGTAACACTCCCCAATATTAACATAGAGGAAGAAATAGCTATTACTAAGACCAATGTCAAGATGTTAACTAATTGTCATCTTAGTAACACTCCCCAACATTGATATAAAAATAGTATTTAAAAGAAGAATTAATATTCAAGGAAAGAAGTTAAGAAAATAACTCACAACTTTAATAATCAACAAGCTTCAAGAGCAATACCAAGAAATGTAAGTTTAGCTCCTCATTTGGAGACTAAACATTCTATAAAAATATAAAAGAAATACTATTCTAAACTGAGCTTAAGAGAGTATATGAATTGGTGAATAAATGAGAAGGAAATGAGGTGTATTTATAGGTGTTTGGAGCTGCCAGGGCCATTTACCCGACCGGGTAAAAGGCATATCTTTGCCAAATCTTCACCTGCACGTTCGATTGCCCCCAAATCAGATTTTATTTTCGGATCAAGTCAATACCCGATCGGGTAAATGCTTTACCCGACCGGGTAAATGACTATTTTTCCAAATTTTCACTTGATCTTGTTCCCTTGCACTTTCCTTGAGCTTTCCAAGGATCCTTTTGATGATCTTTACCTAGTTAAAACTCAGAATAATCCGAATCTAAAAAAATTACAAACAAAATAGGAAAAATAAAGTATTACACCAAAAGTGTGTAATTTCCCAAACAACAACAAATAAAACTAGTTAAAATTACAGACATAAACCATAACAATTCTATACTATCAGAAGTCTCGCCGAAGAACAAGGAGGAGCATGCTCAAATGCAGAATGTCCCATATGCATCGGCAATTGGAAACATAATGTATGTGATGGTGTGCACAAGGCCAGACATTGCACATGCAATGGGAGTAGTGAGCAGATTCATGGGAGACCCCGGGAAAGAACACTGGGAAGCTGTGAAGTGGATCATGAGGTAATTGAAAGGTACTGCTTCTAATGCTTTGTGTTTTGATGGGAAGAATGTAGAGCTGCTGGGACATGTTGATGCAGACCTGGCATAGAATGACTCGGATGGATCGAGGAGCACCACCGGGTATGTTTTTACATTTGGTGGAACGGCAGTTTCCTGGCTTTCGCAGCTGCAGAAGATTGTTGCATTATCTACCACTGAAGCTGAATATGTGGCCATTACGGAGGTAAGTAAGGAGATGGTGTGACTTCAGAATTTACTTGGGGAACTTGGGAAGGAGTACAAGAATAGCATTCTTTACAGTGACAGTCAAAGTGCTATCTTCTTGGCCAACAACTCAGCTTTTCACATGAGAACCAAACACATTCGGTTGAAGTATCACTACATCCGTCATCTTCTGGAGATAGAGGCATTGCAGCTTGTGAAGATCCGTGGGAGTGAGAATCCAGCAGACATGTTTACTAAGGCGATAACCTTGGAGAAATTGAAGCTTTGCATAGCTTTAATTGGCCTGGGTACTTGAAGATGAAGGTCGGCGCTACCATGCTTACAAGGGAGGTTTGAAGAAGACAGTCTCTAGGTGGGAGATTGTAAGGTGTTAGAGACAGTTTCTTAATTTATTTTTGGAAACACGTTTCTTAATTTATTTTAGGAAACACATCCTAGTTGCCTTGGGGTTAGGATTTACTTCTCTATAAATACAAGCTCTCTCTCTTGTAATTTGTGTGTGGATCCGAAAATAGCAATAATATTTCTGGCTTGGTAGCGCCCCCAGACGTAGTCATTCGTGGCGAACTGGGTTACCAAATTTCGTGTGTTCTTCGTTATTGTTTTTGTTTCGTGTGCGTAAATTAAATTCCTAACAGCTTGATGAGAAACCATTTCCGTAATCCTCTCCTGGTTTCGTACAGGTGTAACCGTCTCTAGCAAGGAATGAATCAAAGTGGAATTACAGCTTCACACAAAGGGATTTAAAGGAAATTGCCGATTAGTGCTTAACATTGACATCCATCTTTTCTGAGTCATCTCACGTAAAAAAGAACGTGAAGCAATCAAATCACAATTAATCATCAAACTTTGGACTACTATTGATTTATATCCAAACTACTATGAAGCAAACAAATCACAATTATGAGCATATTTTCAAATGAGTTTTTTGAATGCTCATTTCGTAATTTATGTATACTCATTTGATATCAGTGCAATATTCATTTTAAAATGTCATATTCATGCATACTTCAAAATGAGTTTTATGTTAAACTCAAATGAGTATAACATCCAAAGTGAATGAGTACACACAAATGAGTTTTTTAATATTTTGATACTCATTTTGTAAGTTATGTATGTTTTTTTTTAACTCCAGGTGGCTTCTGGGGGAGGGGGGTTGGGGGACTTGGAGTAATCAGGGCTGAAACTCACTCCATTGAGTTTCGAACCCGAGATCTCCCGTAAGGGAGAGTGAGTCCGCTTCCTCAGTTATGTATGCTCATTTGGTACTGTTTTATGCACATTTTAAAAGGCTGCACATGTTAAAAACTTAAACATATCATAATTCATTAGATTCATATATTGAAATTTAATGAAATTGATTATAGATATAATTTAAGACTTTAATAAACGAAAAAATAATAAATAGAATTTGATAAATGAGGAATGAAACAGATGTGACTAAGACTTTGTTTGCAAACAATTAATTTAAGTGCTTTTGGCTTTTTTTAAGAAAAAAACACTTATTTTACCAAACAATACCAACTTTTACTTTCTCGGTTTTCGTGTAGAATTTACTTTTTACTTTTTTTATTACACAAAAAGCACTTATTTTACTAAACACTATCAACTTTTACTACTAATCACTATTTCCCAAAAAATGCTTTTATTTAAGTACAATCAGTTGCAAACAAAGCCTAACTTTCACCTTTAAGCCCCTCTCAAAAGAACAAACTAGATGATCATCAAAATTGATTCAGTGCTCATTCAAGAGAATAGGGTTTTTAACCAAAATTAGAAGTTTACAACCAGCAGACTGTACCATACAAGCTTCCGAATCAGGAGGCGTCACCGCCGACCACCGTCTAGCGGTATAGTTTGGCATATTAAACACTACACTTGGCCGAAGTCCGCCCTGGATCTGGCAGCTGTGTGTGTTTGTGCGTTTATTTTAATTTTAATAAGGATCTGTGTGATTTTGCGGCGCCTCTGAAGGGTTGTGTTGTGCTTATGGTATAATTTAGGGATTGTTTTGTGTCACATTCGAAATTGAAATCACATTTTTCACTTTATTCCAATTGTACTTGCTTTGAAATTTTGGTTAATACAGCCTTGTGAATTGACGAAAGTTGAGCTGATCCATTATTGAATATCAATTCATTCTAAAATATCCGCGATGCAACACAAAAAGGTTGCGGTGGTGAACAACCATGGCGAGAAGCTAGTGGGAATATTACATGAAGCTGGTACTAAGGAGCTTGTAGTTGTTTGTCATGGTTTCAGGTCCTCAAAGGTTATTTCATTTAGACCGGACAATTATTGTGTATTGCGTGTCACAAATATGGTAATGCTCCCTCTTACATACAGATCCTTTAACTTTACTTTTACCTCAGGATCGCATTCCCATGGTGACCCTTGCTGTTGCTTTTGAGAAAGCAGGAATTAGCGCTTTCCGTTTTGATTTTTCTGGCAATGGGTATGTGGTCAACTGCTTAGCCCGTATTGAATGAGTTAGCATAATTACACATTGTGTGTATGAGTTACATAGAATGTATAACCATTGAACTTCTTGATGTCATATAGCACAATGCCAATGATCAATGTGCTGTACCACTAGAACCTATAAAGATAGCAATGAGTGTGAAGAATTACTCTCTGTACATATGGGTACTTTGACTTAAGGGTTTAGTCGACTACAAGCAGTTTCTTCTTTGAAGAAGCCTCATAACCTTTGTTTCTTGGAAAATCAATATCACCAGTTATTGAAATTACAGTTTTTCTTTCAGTGAAAGTGAGGGTTCATTCCAATATGGTAACTACCGTAGGGAAGCTGATGATTTGCACGTTGTAGTTGAACATTTTCGTCAGAATGGATATTTCATAGCAGCAATTATTGGGCACAGCAAAGGTATAACAGTTTCAGTTGTGGGCATACTCCTCTTTGTATATTTGTTTTTTTTTTCAATCATTCATTTTCAGAAATGTTGCACATATAAATGCCCTCCCATTATTTCTCTCAATCCTTCAGTTCATGTTACTCGTTTTCTTTTGTTTTATCCAGATGATCAGCACTTTTTGACTTTTTCACTCACTTTTTCTTGGTGTATGTCTAATCATACATGAGCATAGTTTCTTTCAATTCAAAATTAAAATGGGGTTCTTGGTTTCTTACTGGTGCCTTCATCTGAAAGAGCACAGGGACTTCTCCAATTTTGTACTTGTTTTTCATTTTTGTAATTTTCTTGGAAGGATAGGAGGATGGTGCTCTTATTTAGAGATTAATTGTTTCCCAGTAGATAGTAGTACCGGGACTTTGTTCCCAATTGATATACAAAAGATAAATTGTCTGTGAGCTAGCACCATTTTCACTATATTTGAGAATGTTGAACAAAATGTTTCTAGGAGGGAATGCTGTGCTTTTGTATGCATCAAAGTATAGGGATATACCGGTGGTTGTTAATATTGCTGGCCGCTTTAATCTTAAGAGAGGGATTGAAGGCCGTTTGGGGATAAATTATGTGGACAAAATCAAACAAGATAGATACATCGATGTTAAAAACAGGAGAGGTTGGTAGTTCGTCCCTTGTTTTTTATTCTGTGCTTTGCATTAATTGTCACATATTTTGAGCTGCAAATTAATTTAATACATATCATTAAGGTATGTCGTCTTTCCACCTTGAACAAAATTCAAGTTGTAGAATGGATTCATTGAAGCTTGAGAAGTTTTGGTGGTCAAGAACTCATACAGCTTGAGAAGTTTGAGATTTTCTGAAAGCTCTTTCATCGAAGCTTAGGCTTGAAGATCTAAATCAAATAGTGTAAATCTTACAACTATGGATAAGATTTACTACTGGATTATTGGCTGATGTAGTCACTATAAGTTTACTGAAATGCACTATAATCTGTAAAAAATCAACTAATAATCCATTAGAAAAATAATAAACATGTTTTATTTTGGGATACATTATTGTGTTTTGTTATTTTTTTCATCTCTATTTCTTATGTATTTTACAATTTATCAGGGAGAGTTGAGTATCGAGTAACCGAGGAAAGTTTGAGAGACCGCCTTACAACCGAGATTGGCACGTCATGTCAAGCTATTCCACCAAACTGCAGGTCAGGAATTTTGTGTATATTCAGTCTGTTCGATAGAGGTAAATCTGTTTAAAATGACCGAGTGAGCTTGAATTGAAATGTTGTCGCTGAAATGTTTGAATAATATTGTGCTGAATTATTAAAAATGTGTATGAAAAGTTTTTTTTAAATAAGCCAAAGAAATTAATATTCAAAAAATGGTAGGCTCAATAGTGGAATACGAATAGGGTTCTTTTTTTTCTAAGATATCAAAACTCAAAAGGATTCCAAAGCAATCAATTAGCGGCTCAGCCTCTGCGCCTCCTCTGCCAAAAGCCGAAGTCCGGACAACATCGGTCGTTCAAAAATTCAGCCACCTCATTACCTAAACTCCCAAACCAGGTTTGTAAAATATATTCCTAATATTTATATCCTCAAATTTTTACTTTTTAGTTGGATTCATGGATTGAACTTGAACTCTTGAAGTATCGAACTATATTTTTTTTTTGCTATAAAGCAATACTACGTAGGAGTACACTAGTAGTCATGTATGGTACTATGTATAATATTATAATTGTATTCATTAATCATTACTATTTTTTGTGTTAATTTCAAATTATGGTTGAATAAGACTAAAGAGAGTACCTTAAATTCTTAGAACATGGTAGTAATTACTAATTAGTGTACTAGTGCGTTTTAAAATACCATTTAGACATTTTTGTTGCATGACGTATCAGACTTTGATTACTATTTCTTTTTTGTCATGAACTTACTGTTGGAGTAATGAGATATTTATTTTAATGTCACAATGTGTCTATTTTGATTTTCTTTTATGTACTACGGAGTATATGTTTTTTATGATCTAAAAGTTAGTATATTAAATTAAGCATTTAAAATTAGGTCCGTTTTTTAACCCGAATTTTTCAAAGGGATGTCGTATTATTCACGTATATGTACTTATACGTTTTTTAAAAGTCAACGATTTTTTCGCCGAATTTTTGACCGTATTTTTTCCCAATTTACCGAATAAAACACGTACGTAATAAATCACGTTTAATTCCCGTACCGTTTTTAACTAGGATATATGCTTGATAAGCCAAAAGAGGAGGGGTACCTATAGCATGCTCTTGATGTTTATGAACTTTTGCAAGCAAAATAAATTCAATGACAAGATAAAACAATTTCCACCAGGGTATTTACCATTCATGGTTCTGAGGATGAAATGGTGCCCGTTGAAGATGCTTATGAATTTTCCAAGTACATCCCAACACACACGTTGCACATAATCGAAGGAGCGGATCATGAATTTACCTCACACCAACAAGAGTTAGCTTCTCTGGTAGCAGCCTTTGTCATGTCTACCCTTCCCAACCAACAAACAACCAAGCTGTCCGAATCATATGTCGGAACGAGAAGTGCAGTTCATTCACGACTCTGATCCTGTATGCTCTTGATTTCATGCTTTGGCCTTTTCACCAAGCCTTTGTCATGTCTACCCTTCCCAACCAACAAACAACCAAGCTGTCCGAATCATATGTCGGAACGAGAAGTGCAGTTCATTCACGACTCTGATCCTGTATGCTCTTGATTTCATGCTTTGGCCTTTTCAGCAACACACTATGGTGTGAAAACTATTAATGAACAGTGTTGGGACCAGGTTCTTTCCCAATTCTTATGAGCAGCGTGGGGATCGAGTTATTTTCCAATTCTGTTAGTTGCTAGTTGGAGATGACATTACATGGTACTCCGTAAATAATCACATTAGTGAACTGAACTTGGACATTATAGCATTAATGCATTATTAAATGTAAGGATATTTTTACTTGGACTGTAATTTGCTGGTCTGGTCTGAACTGGTTTGGTTTGGTCTGTTTTTTTGTATTTTTATAACTACCTAAGTCTGGCCTGTTCTGATCTGGTCTGGGATAGATTACAGTCCAAGTAAAAACATCCTAAGTATTAAATTGTTTTTTTTGTTTTTAAAACTATTACTAAAATAAAACTTATTTACACTGATATGACTAATAGTTAGTTCAATGTGGTGCCGTAGTAACTTAAGTTGTAAAGTTGAACATAAGTTACTACTATCCTCCGTTCCAAATTAGATGCAACATAACCCAATGGCACACAAATTAAGAAAGAGCCATAAAGTAACTTTTTCCCTATTCTACCCTTCTGCTGCAAGAGCTTCTCAGCTTCTTTAAGAGTTACTGCTATCTTGGACCTTGGTGTTTTATTCGGTCTTCACGGAAGCTCCTAGACCACATAAAATTAATTTGTGTTATCCTCACACAAGATTTATTGTTGTAACTTCAAGCGAACAGACAAGATGAAAAGAAAGAAGAAATTGGAGGAAAGAAATCTCCGGCACAACAGTGAGCTTCTATCTAACCGGAGATCCCTGAGTCGTCGGTGCAATCGGGCAGGTGGTGTCGCCGGAGAAAGTGAAGGACCTACTCTGTTCTGCTGCTACTTTCGTTGCTGGAGATTTTTAGGCTGTTTATGCTTGGGTTGTGAACAAAGCTTTTAAGCGTCCATTAATGGAGGATCTCCGAGTTTGAGCTCTAATAGCCGAAGGAATTGACTAGGACGATGGTAATTGTGGCCTAGGCTTTCTTTCAGAATTGTTCTTGTTGGATTTTCTGTAAATGGGATGAATTTTCGGATTAAAGAATGGAGGAAAGGGTGAAGGAGTAACAGTAGACCTAGGAATGCGAGATGGAAGAAATTGGAATGAGGAATAAGAGTTGGTGGGCAGATGGCTGAAAAATTGGGCGGAAGGAATTTGTGGCTCAGTAGTACAAAATATTATTTTATTGGATTTAAGGGTAATATAGTCATTATGATTATTTCTTATTACAAAAAAAGGCAATGTTGCAATTATTTTGAAACTACTAAAAAAGAAAAGTGTTGCAACTAAAAAAGAACGGAGGGAGTATGATTCTATTACTACTATAGTCTCTAGTCACATTTTTGTAAGAAATATTTATTTTAGTTATAAATACTTAATTATTTCTATTAAGTTGTGTCTTATCAGGGTTCTAAAAGCGTTGGGGTGGGGTAGGGGGGTCTTGGCAGTACACTGAAGTGTATGCCTATGCGGGCCTTGAGCAATGACTAGCAAATTTGAATCTGCTATACGCATTGTGAGTTGAATATGTATTGTGATATTTACTCTGTATGAAGGAGAGAGAGCACTCACTACAAAAAACAGTCCGTTGAATATGGATTTTGCAGTTTAATGGGGATGAACTGTAGTTATCCTCGTTGGCTTTTACAGTGGTTGTCTACGTGGCATGGACGCGGTCCGGGGCGTGACACAATCATATACTACCTCCGTCCCCCTGTTATTGTTCCATTGCAGTTTATAATGCTTGACCGACGATAAAGCAAACAGATTCCTGTCTGCACTCAAATTATTTTTAGAAAAAGAATTACATATTCAAAAACTACACTAAAAGCTTTACAAAGTCGCAAATACATGAATCAAATTTGATAAAAATTTGAAACATAAAATAAGAGATTAAAAGTGATCTGTGTTGACCACGTGAATAGGAAAAGAGATAATAACAGGGGGACGGAGGGAGTATGAATTAGCCGTTTGGAGAAGCATAAATGGGCTGGTAAGCCTGAATATACAAAAAAATCACCAAACACCCATTAAGTGGGCTGATTTGGGTGATTTTTTGGCTGAATTCTATTATTATACAGTTAGCCATTTAAAAGACGGAGAAAAAAATTAAATTATCCTGAACTTTAGGTATGTGTGATATCTCTACCCTAAACTTGTATGTGTGATATCCTTTAACTAACATGAGTAACAGCTACCCTACCCTAATTAGAAGTATTTATTTTGAATTTTAGCTTACATTCTGCAATATCTACCTGACAAATACACATCCACGCTGGCTTTTATCCCTGATGCATCTTCCTTTCAACATCGATGCATCTCCTTTACTGTATTCGTCTCTCACAATATAGAAAAAACCCTAGTTTCTGGGCCATGGCATGAAAGAACTAGCGAGCGTAAAGAAGATGAACGACCGTTACTCAGCACGAAGAGGCATGTCTGTCAGCTGAAGCTTGTCGTTAGGAAAAGAAGGATTAGGGAATTCAAGTGAAAATGTAAAGTATTGTTATCACAATATCCCTGCTAATCTTCAAATTACATCAAAGGAAGGAAAGAACCATGGTCGACCATTTCAGAGAAATGGAAACGAGAAGATTAGCTGATGACTGCTCGAGTTATATGTTTCCGAAAAGGCAAGAAGAGAAAGAAATGCTTCAGGTGGAAGTGGAAAAACTAAAAGAGAAGAACAAAAATGTTAAGAAGAAATTGTTGATGGTGGAAGCTGGGTTGGAGAACATGAAAGGCACTCATTGATATTCGTGTAATTTCCGATTGTATGTTTGTATTTTTAACTAGTTTTTATTAGTTGTAGTTGTGGAAATTACACACTTTTGGTGTAATATTTTATTTTCATATTTATTTGTAATTTGTTTAGATTAGGATTATTCTGAGCTAAACAGGTCAAAGATCATCAAAGGGATCAAGATTGGACCTTAAAAGATCAAGGAAAGTGCAAGGAGACAAGAAAGATTTCGATTTGGAAAAAATACTCATGTACCCGGTCGGGTATTGCCTATACCCGATCGGGTAATTGCTTGATTCGACTGTCCAAATCAAATCCGAAGACAAATGATCGTGGGAGCAAATTTTCATAAAGATTTGTCACATACCCGATCGGGTATATACCCTTACCCGATCGGGCAATTTCCTGAGATACCCGATCGGGTATCCTATATACCCGATCGGGTATCAGACCCTGCAACTCCCAAAAGCCTATAAATACACCCCTTTCCTTCACAATAAAAGGACCAATTCACATATACTCTTTAGCTCAGTTTAGATTAGTGTTTTCTTTATATTTTCTATCATGTTTAGTCTCCAAATGAGGAGCTAAACTCTTCCATCTTGGTTTTGCTACTTTGAAGCTTAATGAATTTGTAAGTTGTGAGTTATTCTCTTTAATCTTCTTCCTTGAATATTAATTCTTCCTTTAAATACTATTTCTATATCAATGTTGGGGAGTGTTACTAAGATGACAATTAGTTAACATCTTGACATTAGTTATAGTAATAATTATTTCTTCCTCTACGTTAATATTGGGGAGTGTTACTAAGATGACAAATAGTTAACATCTTGATATTAACTATAGTAGGATTCATCTTCTTTAATATTCTTTCTTGAGTATTAATTAATTCCTATTCATATTTCATATTAATATTTTGAACATTACTTAAAGGATCAACTAGTTTTGTTTCATATATTAATTAATACTAGAATCGGTCGATTAATACGCTTGTTATTAATTCGGTCCTTTCATGGTAGTAAACTTGGATTATTAATGCATGCATCTCATGGTTAATAATCTAAGGGGAATTAATTATATTGATTAAACCAATAAACCGCTTGTGTTGAGGTTATCAACCCCAATCGTTTTCATCTTAAGTTTATTGCTACTATCAAGTTAATATACGGCGCTTGTTCTATATTGACTCGATAGTAAGTTTTATTAATGAACGCTTCTCGTTATTAATAACTACCCTCGATGAACTGGATATACTCCTCGATTGAGTATTCGAGAGGAAGATAGTTAAAGATATAACCGGGATCGACGAACATTTCATTAAGTGGATAAAAGCAAAGCCAAGTCTTCTTCTCATTAATTAAACTCATTTAAGTCATTCATCTTAGTGTTAATTAAATCAAATCAAATCTAAAACCCCCTTTGTTACTAGTTAATTAAAAAGAGAAATATTCCTTTCCCTGTGGATACGAACCTTACTTCGCTATACTACGTATTTGTGTCGTATTGATATTTATTTTGAGTGCACCTCACGACAAGTGCACGTCAAATTTGGCGCCGTTGCCGGGGAAAGACAATTATTTTTCTTTTTATTTTATCTCATAAAAATAAAAAAAAAAATAAAAAACTTAGTTTTCTATTTTCTGAGCTTTCATGAGTATATGGATATCAACACATCATCTCTAGAGAGTCAAATTTCCGACTTGACTTCTCTAATAAAGGAGTTTATTTCATGTTCAAAATCTCAAGATGTCCATACATGCAACATTTGCATGTCACACAGGCATCTTACGGATTTTTGCCCAGAGCTTCAAAAAGAATACTTTGAACAAAGGAATGATGTTGGTTTCCAAGAGAGGTATGATTCATTCTCCAACACATATAACCCATACTCAAGTTCTTATTCCAGCATGTCCACTGAAGACATGATCCGAGCTCTCACTATCAATGTGACGAATATGCAACAAAATATGTCACAATGCCCGCAAGAAACAGTGTCCAACGAACAGAACTTGGACAATCAGTTGAAACAAATGCCAAGCATTGTGGACCACATGGGCGAGGAGGAGAAAGAAGAGGAGCTTACGGAGAAAGCTCAACCGGAGGAGGAACCTCAAAACTCAACTCCACCACCGGCCATTCCTGAAATCATGCCACCATTTCCTGAGACTCTAAGGAAAACACAAAGGGTGGAGAACGACAAAGACATCTACGAAATCTTCAGCAATTGTGAGTATCATTTAGATTTCTCTTCGTTCACAAATATGCAGGGAATAACGGTGGAGTTACGCAAACATTTCATACTCCCTCTTATACCACCCAGATCAAAACCCCTTCGATTGACCATGCTAAGTGAAAATCATGGACCCTCACTCTTACAATATGAAGTGATAGAAATCCGGATATTTGATCCTGGAAAGATTGTCAAAATAAAGGGTCGACAAATTGAGCCTTTCTATAAGAGTCACTCGGGTGAAAATGTGAAGAAGAGGGATCATCACGATCCAAGCCTAAACGACTGAAATTAAAAAAGATGGTGTCGTGCCACGACGTTAAATAAGGCGCTTTTTGGGAGGCAACCCAAGTGAGGTACATCATTGTGTGTCTATTTTTTTTCCTTTTTCTTTCCCCTACACAACCTCCTTTTCACCTCTTTTCATCTTTAATCTTTCAAAATATCATCCAATTCCACCCCAATCACCCCAACCCTCATAATCATATCCTTCTTTCTTTAAAATCTATCCAAATCCTCCACCAAACCCCACACACAAAACAATCATAATCTTGTTCTCATCACTTTCCTCTTACTCCACATACCCTCTAATCCATAAACTCTTACACTCACCCCTCTCCCAAACCACAATTTTATATCTTTAAAAAAAACCCAAAAAAAAAGTGATGGCGATAACGAGCACTAGGGACAATGCTCCGAGCTAAGTGAGGGGGAGTCACTCATTGGTACGCAATTAATTTTTCTACCTTGTAACTTGCATTATTTTTTTTCACAAAAAAAAAAAAGAGAAATGCTAGTTAGGTTGAAAACCCAAAAATGGGCAATCTGAGCAAAAAGGGCTTATAAAAAAAATGAGTGAGTTGGAAAGGATGGAAAAACAAAAAGAGATGCTAGGATGAAAACCTGAAAAGGCTCCTAGGCAAAATGAGAGATATGAGAGATATATTTGTTTTTGCAGAGCATCATTTAATCTCTTGACGGAAAAGAAGAATAAAAGAGGTGAAGAAAAAAATGAGCATAGAAGGCCATGAAACCCAAGAAGATGTTATTTTTTTTATTGAGCTAAAAACTCAATGTAAAAAAATAATGTTTTATCCTTGGTGGTCTTTTGCTTTTTCTTGTTGATTGTTGAACTTTTGAGGATTTGGAAGTGTTAAGCATTTGACTTTAATCGAGGACGAGTAAAGAAGCTAAGTGTGGGGGAGTTGATATTCGTGTAATTTCCGATTGTATGTTTGTATTTTTAACTAGTTTTTATTAGTTGTAGTTGTGGAAATTACACACTTTTGGTGTAATATTTTATTTTCATATTTATTTGTAATTTGTTTAGATTAGGATTATTCTGAGCTAAACAGGTCAAAGATCATCAAAGGGATCAAGATTGGACCTTAAAAGATCAAGGAAAGTGCAAGGAGACAAGAAAGATTTCGATTTGGAAAAAATACTCATGTACCCGGTCGGGTATTGCCTATACCCGATCGGGTAATTGCTTGATTCGACTGTCCAAATCAAATCCGAAGACAAATGATCGTGGGAGCAAATTTTCATAAAGATTTGTCACATACCCGATCGGGTATATACCCTTACCCGATCGGGTATGCCCAGAAAAGTGACTTTCTGGGCAATTTCCTGAGATACCCGATCGGGTATCCTATATACCCGATCGGGTATCAGACCCTGCAGCTCCCAAAAGCCTATAAATACACCCCTTTCCTTCACAATAAAAGGACCAATTCACATATACTCTTTAGCTCAGTTTAGATTAGTGTTTTCTTTATATTTTCTATCATGTTTAGTCTCCAAATGAGGAGCTAAACTCTTCCATCTTGGTTTTGCTACTTTGAAGCTTAATGAATTTGTAAGTTGTGAGTTATTCTCTTTAATCTTCTTCCTTGAATATTAATTCTTCCTTTAAATACTATTTCTATATCAATGTTGGGGAGTGTTACTAAGATGACAATTAGTTAACATCTTGACATTAGTTATAGTAATAATTATTTCTTCCTCTACGTTAATATTGGGGAGTGTTACTAAGATGACAAATAGTTAACATCTTGATATTAACTATAGTAGGATTCATCTTCTTTAATATTCTTTCTTGAGTATTAATTAATTCCTATTCATATTTCATATTAATATTTTGAACATTACTTAAAGGATCAACTAGTTTTGTTTCATATATTAATTAATACTAGAATCGGTCGATTAATACGCTTGTTATTAATTCGGTCCTTTCATGGTAGTAAACTTGGATTATTAATGCATGCATCTCATGGTTAATAATCTAAGGGGAATTAATTATATTGATTAAACCAATAAACCGCTTGTGTTGAGGTTATCAACCCCAATCGTTTTCATCTTAAGTTTATTGCTACTATCAAGTTAATATACGACGCTTGTTCTATATTGACTCGATAGTAAGTTTTATTAATGAACGCTTCTCGTTATTAATAACTACCCTCGATGAACTGGATATACTCCTCGATTGAGTATTCGAGAGGAAGATAGTTAAAGATATAACCGGGATCGACGAACATTTCATTAAGTGGATAAAAGCAAAGCCAAGTCTTCTTCTCATTAATTAAACTCATTTAAGTCATTCATCTTAGTGTTAATTAAATCAAATCAAATCTAAAAAACCCCCTTTGTTACTAGTTAATTAAAAAGAGAAATATTCCTTTCCCTGTGGATACGAACCTTACTTCGCTATACTACGTATTAGTGTCGTATTGATATTTATTTTGAGTGCACCTCACGACAAGTGCACGTCACTCATGTATCAAAAGCAGAGATTGAAAGAATAATGGCTAGATTTGTAATAGCTGGGTTTGTTTTAATTTTTGTCATTGTATCAATTGCCTCAATTGTTGTGAGAAAAATGTAAGCTATGGTTAGAATGTGTAGTGGCTAAAATGTGTGTTGTTGAATTACCTCTCATTCTCATGATATGTACAACCAAACGTAGTAATATTAGTAATATGAAATGTATTTCTACTGATATGTATTTTTTAGTAGTTTAGCATTGTGTTCTTCTGTTTATTAGAATGCATTTCATTTTGAAAAAAGATTGGTAACAGAGCTTTCTATGTTGGAAGTTCTGAAATGAAAAAAGAGTTTGAGCCCAGCCTGCATATATCCCATATTTCCCATATTTCCACCTTGGAAGTTCTGTGTTGGAATGATAATGGCAGGATTTGAGTTGGAAGTTCTGAAGCTATTAAAGAGTGAAAGTGAAAAGAAAACTAAGAATAACAATGAATGCACTAAAGAATGAAAACTAAGTTCTGTGTTGGAAGTTCTGGGTTGCAATGATAATGGCAGAATTTGAGTTTTAGGAGCTCAGGTTATTGTTTATTGCTTTGGTTTTTATATAGTGTCATATACAAATGAATGCATATCAACTTTTGTTTTTAAGCTGGAAATAGAAATATCATACCGTTCTTGCCATAAAACCCAGAAAATGATTAACTTCTACACAACCAGCTTATCATATCTCATACCATTCTTGCATTAAAACCCAGGAAATGAATACCTTCTGGACAGTCTTATTATATCTCTTCCCATTTTAAAAAAAAGAATTCCAATAAACTTTAAAGATTAGCTGAATATTTACATGTATAGGTACTAGTCTACTACTATCTCAATTCTGAAACTTTCCAGCCAACTTCAAACTAATATATTTGCAGGAAGCATTTCACTGATCCAAAAAAATAGAAAACTAAGAAACAAATGAATGTTATTATCTCCAGCAATGAATCTACCACATCCACAAGTGACAGAATAAATATCCTGATAGAATACATTCACTGATTCAAAGTAATGAATGCTATTATCACAAAATAAATATCCTCACATATGGCAATGAATCTGCCAGAACCATATTAATTCTTTCAAGGACCTCTACCCTCCCTGAAACTACATGTTAAATCAGCCCAATGATAAACACCAGTGAGTAGCTAGTATAAAGAGGAGTAAGTGTATAACAAGGAAGGTAAGGGACATCTCCCATATATTTCAATTACATAATTGTTAAGGTTTTTACATAGCAAAACAAAAAGCAAAACATGGCCTTTTGCGTGGCTCAAAAAAATGTGCTTTACACAGGTGCACATAACTATATCATAAGCAAAAACAGCATGTACATTGGCCTTTATAATCACACCAAAAATTGAGCTTTACAGGTTCCATTAATCTTTCAAAAAGGACCTTAGCTTAAACAAAAAAAGGACCATAACTACATCTTGTCTTCATAGAGCAAAAATTCCATCTTGTGCCATCAAAATCACACTTGTGGACATCATGTCTGAGATGGTTGAGAAGTTGTTGGAGTAGAAGAGGTTTGTGACATCACATTACTACCTCCTTGCCTTGGCTGAAAAAATTAGGAGCAATAGTTGTACAACATACATTTAGGTAGACTCTTGCATCATCACCATAGTAAACTCCCCATCCATTGGGTATTGTTTGTCTTGAAGCACTAGAAGAGGCATTCTTTAGTGGCCTTCCTCTTGGCCTTTTAGGTTGGGTAGGATCACCACACGGAGTTTGAGTTTCTTTTCTTGGCGGTCCACCATCCTTGGTCTTCCTCTTGATTTTGCCTAAGATATAAACACAAATAAGTATACTGACTAACTCATTAGTAATATATAACTCTACTACTCAGTAACTAGTATACACTAAAGCAGACTTATAAGTATACATACGTGCTCATTGTTAATAATATAACTCATACTACTTAGTAACTAGTATACACTAATAATATACCTCATACTACTCAGTAACTAGTATACACTAAAACATACTTACTCATTAGTAATATATAACTCATACTACTCAGAAACTAGTATACACTAATAATATAAGTCATACTACTCAGTAACTAGTAATATATAACTACTCATAAATAAGTATACATACATACTTACTCATTAGTTTTATATAACTCATTCTACCCAGTAACTACTATACACTAAAACATACTTATGCTCATACCAAGAACACTCTCACAGCATAAACACAAACTTATGAGCTCACAGTGAACTTATATACGTATAAGTCACCCTTATGAGTCACACAAACACAGTAAATACTCTCATACCAAGTACTTGACTTATAGCTAATATATAAACACCATAAAATTATAACTTATAACAACAAATGACAATCACAAACTTACAGCTGTGTTTTGAGATTCACTGTGGGATTCATTTCCCTTTTGAGGGCACCTTCTTTTATTGTGACCATTTCCTTTGCATTTACTACAATTCATTTGTACTCCGTGTTTACTTAACTTACCTTTCTTTTCAAATCTCTCGTGTGCCTCCTTTCTTCTATTTTTCTTAGGCCTTCCTGCACTTATCTTTATTGGTGGAGGATTTAAGGCATAGTCTATCTTTTCCCAGTGCCTCTCACCATTAATTGGTTTGACTGAGATACTATAGCTCTGGAGGTATTTAACCTTCTTAAACCAGTCCAATACAAAGTTTTCAGGAGGAACCCTTAGCCAATTACAACAAGATATGACATGGACACATGGTATTCCAGTTAGATCCCACTTCCTACATGTACATGTCTTATCATTTAGATTGACACTGAACATGTCCAAACGATGCATGACTTGAAACTCAAACTCACTAGCAGGAAAACAAGCACACTTCCTAGCATGTTCTTTTTCAGCCTCTAAGCATTTCCTTATTCTAGGACAGATTTCATCATGCCTATAGACCATAGAAGATCTATTCACATGCACCCTTTGCATTACACTCAACCTTATATCCTCAAGCATTTGAATGAGAGGTTTGGATCTTGCTTCAATAATATATCCATTGAAAGTCTCTGCCCTATTACTGACAATGACATCACTCTTACTCAGTGTTTTCATGTAGGACCTGCAGAAGGTGGTTGGATTTTGGGAAATAAAATCTTCAACAGCTTTGGTACTAACAGCTTTCATTTCCTCAAGTGCACTATCGAAGTCAGCTTTAGCATATGCTTTGACAGCCTTCCAGTACAAACACCTAAGTTGCCCCCCCTTGTTTTTCTTCAGCCAATTTGCAAAAATATGTCTAGCACAGTTCCTATGTTCTGCTGCTGGAAAATGCTCAGTAACAGCTTTACACAATCCCTTCTGCTTATCTGAACAAATGGTAGAGTTCTCATTACCAAAAACCAGGCAAATCACCTTTCAGAACACCTAAAAACCAATTCCAAGAATCATTATTTTCAGCCTCCACCATTGCCCAAGCAACAGGGTACATTTGATTGTTCCCATCTCTTCCAACAGCACATAACAACATTCCACCTAAAAATGTCTTTAAGAAGCACCCATCTACACATAGCACAAATCTACATCCGCTTAGAAATCCATCTCTCAATCCAGAAAAACTCACATAAAGCCTCTTAAAGATGTATGGTTCCCTGGGCAGATTAGGCTTATCAATAACTAATATAGAAGTCACTTGAGGATCAACTCTCTTCAACTCTCTCAAGTACGAACCAAGTTTACTATAATGTTCTTTTAGGGTCCCATGTAAC